AGTAGTAGGACCTCTTCTCACAATTTCAGCGTGGTTGAAGTGTTCCCTTCCTCACACAATTTCAGCGTGTCTGGAATTTATTCTTCCTCTTCTCATGATTTTAGCGTGATTAGAGTATCCCAGGACGTATAAGACACGACCCTGAGCGGTATGACCTCTTCTTACAATTTCAGCATGGTTAGGGTGTTCCCTTCCTCACACGAGTTCAACGTGTTTGGAGTTTATCTGAGTAGTTTTCTCAGGACCTTTTCCCACAATTTCAGCATGGTTAAAGTGTTCTCGAGTGGTTAGAGTATCTCAGGACGCGTGAAATATGACCCTGAGTTTTAGGACCTCTTCTCACGATTTCAACGTGGTTTGAGTGTTCTCTTCCTCACGCGATTTCAGTGTGCTTGGAATTTGTTCTTCCTCCTCTCACGATTCCAGCGTGGTTGGAGTATGTCACTCTATTCATGTACTACATTATCCATTGCATCCATTACATCATGAAACCTTTTCGAGTTAAGCTTAGTTTGGCATGTGCTCATACCTTTCCCTCGTTGAAACATGATTCTATTATGTGTAAGTACCCATGCTGCGCTGAGGCTAGCATTGAGGGTGTCAACACTTTTTCAGTGTTAGACGTGGTTTGTTTTGTGTCCATACATTTTCTAGGTAAAATGTAGTTAAGCTTGCGTCCCTTATTCACTTCATCCATTGTATCTAGTGCATCGTACTTTGTCTTGTTGCCTTCAGCATTTAGGATTATCGTCTTTTCCTCAGCAGATCATTCCTCACTTATATCATACCACCCAATTACTTGTACTATTTCTGGGAAAAACATAGTTCTGCATGTGTTCGCACCCCTTTCATGTTAAAACATGGTTCTGTTATGTATAAGCACCCGTGCTACGCTGAGGCCAGTATTGAGGGTGTAGGCACTTAGCCTGTGTTAGGCATCATTTGGCTTGTGCCCATGACTTTTTTTATTTATTTATATAAAACGTAGTTTGATTTTGCATCCCCATTTCTTTATGGTACGCGTATGTTTTGCACTGCTTGTGGTTTGATTATATTATTGCATTGCGCTGTATATTATTTGCATCTTGCCCCTGCACTATGCTGGTTTGATTCCTTGCAAAGGGATACGTAGGCAACCCTCGGGGTTCAACCAACTGCATCTGCATTTTGCTTGTTTGCCCAAGTCTTATGGCTTGGTCAAAATGGGTCGTCTTTAGGCTTTGACATTCACTCACGTCATTTCATGACTTCGAGTTCTGTCAAAGAGGGGCAACTGTAGACACCCCATTTTTGACCGCCCTTAAGACTTAGGCGCCTTAGGTTGATCACTTGATGATGAAAAGTTATGCTATACAAACGTTTGATTTCTTCAGCAAGAAGAGATTGTAAATCCCAAACCTTACACCCCATTTTTGACCAAAACTATTTTAGACCTTAAAACCCTCTTTTTCAAAATATTTTTTCAAGTGTTTCTGTAATGTTTCAAGGCTCACATTTCGTTTAAAATATTGTACTTTTTAGTAAACCGAGTAAGGACAAAGTGGACATAAGTAGAAGGGAGGTGAACACTTTAAAAAATCATTAAAAACATCCTATTTATAGGTTTGAATTTGAAGAAACTAGGAGGGGAAGGAAGAAAACTAGTTGGGGAAAAGGTTGGGCATCAATCCGTTAAAATATAAATGAGCAACCTTCACTAAATTAGGCATATCTCTTTGTACACTTAGAATTTAGATATGAGACCACACCATTGGAAAGTAGACTTCCAGGACTTCAATTTAGACTCAAGAATCACCTAAAATCGAGTCCGGATAAGGGAGATATGCTAGTTTGAAGTCGGGCTTGAAAACAGATTTTTGTGGCCGGCCAGCCACTTTTTGTGGATGGCCATCCAAGTAGTGTACGGACGGCCAATTGTGAAAAATTAGGCCATTTTGAGTGGATTGGCCAACCAAGTGTCCCCATGGGCCAACTAGTGGCCAGCAGGCCATAAATTAGGGTACGACCGTCCCTTTTAGTGGCCAGCCGACCAGTTGTGCCGTCAGAACAGATTTTTGCAGATATTTGTTGCCAACTATTCCCACAGGTGCATGCACTGCACCAGCTGTCTATATATAGATATTTCTGATTGAGGTACCTGGTTTTCTATATATAGATGACCTTCTCTCTTGGTTTTAGGTTAGAGAAAATTCCAAAAGCTCCAAACTTGCATAGCACTCTCTCTCTCTCTCTCTCTCTCTATCATGCAACCTACACACACTCTCTCTACACTTCTTAAACCAAAAATTTAGCTCTTTTTGCTGAGGCTCTTGAGCTTAAATCTCAGCCCTTGAGAGTGAATACCTTGTGGTTTGTGAACAAAATAGTTACTCATCTTCAAGAGGTATAACTTTGACTATCTTTACACTACTTATTTCCTCTATTTTGTTATTGGTTTTAGACTATTTTCAACAACTTTTTATGGGCTGAAACTTGTGGTTTAAGGTTATTGAGGGGTTAATCATCCTTCTTTGAACCTTGTCTTCTAAGTTTTGCACTTGTGCTTCCCATCTCTTTCTCAACTTTTTTTTCCAACTTTTTACCACTGATTTTCAAGGATTTTTAGAGGCTAAAAATGTTGTTTTGAAGTCCAAAAAATGGAGGGGTTAGCCACCCCTCCTTATGCTTGTTTACTAGATCAATTTCTCCTTTGTTTTAGCTAACTTTTTCAAGCTTTTCCATGTAATTTCCAGCACTAGTTTTGGCTATTTTACGATTGTTTTAGGTTGTTCATTTCATTTATGATTTGTATAGCATGCTTGTAGTGTAGTGGTCCTCATAGGTTTAATGGTTTAGGCCTTAGCCACCAACCTATTTGAGTTAATAGCATTTATTTCATGCTTTTTATACTTGTGTTCATCCAAAATCATCTCTGAACTCTCCTGCTTTTCTTGGCTTTTTATTTCTTTGAGAATTATTTCAATCAAGTGTTGTTTAAGCTTGATAAAGGGACCATACAATGCTAAATGGTTTAATCTTTTTGGAGGTTCATTACCAGGGCATTACCTCTCTCTAATGCCCAAAACAACTTCTTGTTTGACACTCCCCTCCATTTAGTGGACTTAACTATCATTTTTGGACTAAAATGACTAAGGAATAGAAAGGCAATTGAAAGAGGTAATAACATTGGAGTAAAAGTGGTAACAAGAGAATAAAATCAAGCTTGGGGTTCAATTAGATGTTAATTGAACCCTTTGAGTCTTGAATCATTTCATACTCTTAGTGATGAAAAAGGTTCAAGATTCAAGGTCTACCACTTCACTTGATCAATTCCATGATAGGGAGGGAGTTTTGTTGGTCTTTTAGTTCCACTTACTGAGCTTTTGTCCAATTGAGTCATAGATCATCATGCAACAACTTTGCAACCGTTGATGATTTATGAATCAATTCTACCCCTCCTTTGAGCAATTCCATGATAGGGAGAGGTAGATAGGATAAAAATTCCCTGGAAACATTCTGTTTCTGCTTTGTTCCTTTTCTGTTGCAGTAGGGCAGTACCAACAATAGTGGCCGGCTGGCCACCATTTGCATCTAGCCGACCATTTTTACTGGTTGGCCGACCACCTCCTTTTAATATGGCAGTTTCATTTTCTTGCAAAAAAGAGCAGAAGCTGAGGCAAAAACATAAGTATTTTCTGCAAACAGAATAGTTCTGGCGGCAAAACAGAGGCGTTTCCGGACGGATGTTCGAATTGGCATGCATGGTTCCTTAACCCCCGCTCAAGTTTAATTAGTAAGTTAATTCTCTTGAATTTGTAATAACTTAGTTAATTCATCTTGTGTTGTAATTAATTAGTTAGTTTAATCTTAATTTGTAATAATTAGCTAATGTAGTTAATTCATTCATTTTGGTATTGTAATAGCTAGTTAATTTGGTAATTAGCTAGGGCATTTATTCAAACCCTCTTGCGTGAGGGCAAATTGTAATAATGTGTCTTCCAACCCCCATTTCTTTCTCCCTTTTATTTACTTGCTTATGATGGATAGTATAGAGCATCATGTTTCTCTTAGCATTTTCCATGATTTGCATCCATTTGTCTCGCATGCATAAGTTTCAGTTCATCATTCTAAACGACATTGTCGTTTATTACTTTCTTGAATACGTGCACCACCGCATGCTATCAAAGTGATTCACATGACATATTAGACAACCGAACCTATTAGTTGCATTTTTGTATGTGTTGCATTAGGCACTTGCATATTAGAGCATGCATTTTTCTAATTGTTTTGTTTCTTTTGGCTTGCCTTGGAGTACTAGGTGAACATTCATTGATTTAGCATATTGCATGTTGTGATTGTTAAGTGCTTAAGTGATATACTTGTTTGAATGTCAGTGGATGAAGGCTCATTGTTTAAAGTTCGGATGGTTTGATTAATGTACATATGAGGTCACTTTTTCAAGTGCCACATATTCAAACACTTTTCAAAACAAACATGAAATCAAAGTTTTCCAACTTTTACAAATTAGTCTATACTTGTGTGCATTACATAGCAATGTTAGCGTAATAATCGGAACATGAGCATATAATGTAAATAAGAATCACATCATGATTAGTAGAGGCCGATCTTTGATCGGGCGAAAGGGGTGCTCAATCCATGACCTTCCTCTCTCATACCTAAGTTCCCGAACTGAGACACTTTATTGATGACAGATAAGTGGCTTTTGGCATGAGTCATGATATTCTTAAATTTTCCAAAAAAATATTTAGGTTGCGACTCTAAAATCTGGCAAAGCAGTCTATTTTTTGTATTTTTGATTCAAAATTGATTTTTCAAAAGAATTGTCGGATTTGGACTCATTTGTGTTTATCTATTTCACATTGCACTTGTGAAATCATATTCAGAACCACGGGAGTCCGAACTATAGGGCTATCGTATCCAAAAGGAGCACGCAAAGCAAGCTGCTTACTACATTGAATATTTTTCTAGGGAATACATATACTTATCTTGCTGCAGATAAGATGGCTAAAGATGATGAAATTGATCCTTCCATTACAAACAAATATCCTAATGAGTATTCAAATTCATTGGATCCTCCTGGGCTACTAGCTTTTAAGGTAGAGTTGAAAGTGGGTTGTCCTCTAATGTTATTAAGAAACATTGAACCGAAAGATGGGCTGTGTAATGGCACAAGATTGATGGTTTCAAGGTGTGACACTCGCATAATTGAAGCTCGAATCTTAATTTGTGAGAAGTTTGGCAATTTATCATTTATACCAAGGATATCATTGACACCCTCTTCTTCAGAAATGCCTTTCCGAATGACAAGACGTCAATTTCCAGTTCGATTGTCATACGCCTTGGCCATTAATAAATCTCAAGGACAAGCTGTGAAATTTGTTGGGGTTAATTTGTGCACGCATGTTTTTAGTCATGGGCAACTATACATGGCATTATCTAGATGCACATCTTTTGATCGTATAAGTATCCTTGTCCTCAAGGATGAGCCAGATTCTATTACAAATGCTGTTTATCCTGAAGTTTTGTTATAGTAATATGTTTGGATCAGATCATTTTTTACCAACGAGTACAATTTAATAATTATTTTATTTATATTGATTGTTTTACTTATTTATTTATTTAATTGGCTATATGGACTTTATAGGATTGGGTTGTAAAATCTTTAGAGTTGAAAAGGATAAGTACATCTAGATTGCTTTGATGGCAATGTGTTGAGGTAATTTATGTCTCAAAGTATTATGATATGTATATTTCATTCTATTATACTATTTTATCATTTTCATAAATTACTAGATTTTTGTGCTTCAGCCTTATTGGGGATATACATTCAAGTTGATATGAAGACCGTTTGACAATTGATGAGGCGTTCGTAAGAATGATGGGAAAAAACAAATTTGAAGACATTGTCAAACATATATTTTTGTGAAGTATACATGTGGAGAAGTGGTTTTGGAAATACTTTTCAGATCCTCGGAGACGCTAGTGATCCTCAGCTAGTCACCTGAAAAGATACAAACACTCCGGTCGGGGGTGCCAGAATTAGCACTCTGACGGACAAGTCAGTTCAGACACTCAAGATAGCTTGTTTACTAAGTTAAATGAAGTGATTCTTACATACCTTTCTAAGTCCACTGTTCCTGTATTTATACCTGTTCCTTTTGGTCCTCGGGGCCAGGGCCTACTTTTTAATCATTGTCCTCTCTCTTATTTGGCTCTAAGGATCTATACTTATTCGGCACATATATTATATTCGGCTTCCCATTTTCGTTGGATTCAGCCAATTAATATCAGCCTTCTAAAGTACGTACCTTCTGATTTTGCCATTTATTCAGCTCCCACAATTGCCCCCCGAACTCCCCATTGATGGTAGTTAATCGGCGTGTTTGGTCTAGAATTGGAAATGTTAAAATAGGTCAGGCGGCTTCGCGCACCCCAATACAGATGTCAGAATGCGCACACTTTTTCGGTCATCATTACACTTTCCCGCCTCATTCGTGCGTCTCTTCGCATTTATTGCGATTTGAAATTTTAGTCCTTTCGAGTGCACATTTCGTCGTGTATTCGAGACTCTTAGACCACCAGCGGGTATCCCTTCTCTGACTCGCACTTTCTGTAACTCTTCTTCGTCTATCCTCGTCCCCCTTACTCCTCGTATGTCTTCTTCTCTTTTCTTTGCAACCATACTTTCTGTTTGTTATTTTAATTTTGACGAACCCTTGATTCCCCACGAAAATGGCTAAACACCTGAAAGACCTCCTTTCTGAGGGTCGTGTTTCTGGATTCCGGCGACACTTTTCCATCCCTGACAATGTTCAACTATCTCTAGTGACGGACAATACTCTGGATATGGAGAGAGAGGATTAAAATTCAATCGTCTTTCCTCTCATATCCATTGCAGAGGTCGGGGTCTGTTTTCCCCTACATCCATTCCTTAGGGCCGTCCTCCGCCACTGGGGTCTGATTCCTTCTCAGCCCAACGTGAAATTTTTTTGAATCGTAATGGGGATCATAGAGTTGAACCGGCGCCTCAAGATCGATCTTGGTATTCCGGCCATTCGGCACTGCTATGCTTTAGCCAAATCTTCCGGTCGGCTTGGGCGGTACTTTCTTAGGGCCAAGGATATTGACCATCATTTAGTAACCATGCTTGCCAGTTCTGGTAAGCGTGTGGACGACTTAATGGTCAATGTCCGAGGGAACTAGGAATTTGGCGAAGGCGAGGGTCGCCTAGACCCTATTCCCAGACGGAGGGGTGAACCAGGTTGCCGTGTGTCTCCTTGCGTTTATTGAACTTTTCTTTCACTCGGCCTTCTCTCCATGTTTAACCCTTTGTCTTTGTAGGCAGTAAATTGAAGAAGATTCTGGTTTCTACTGACGACGTGGTCCTTGCGCAGATTGCGATTGCACTTGGATATTTTGGCTGTCCAAACGTACAGAAGCAAGGGAGAGCGGCCCACATACTTCTTCGATACGAGCCTACTTATACTACTTTTTCGGC